GTTTAAAATTGTAATCATTCTTTTACATTCATCGTCCTTTGTCAAATCTCATGAAATTCATACTCCCTTATCTTTAAACTCTCCTTCTTTTTCAGAACATAGTTTCTCTATCCATTCTTCTTACTACAATTCCAAACTTGTAAATTAACCTTGTGCGGTTGAGTGTCTGCAAACAGACGCCCAAATGATTCTACCGTTGTGGACGATTAAGGCCTGTTATCTCTTACTATACTAGCTTATTCAGAAAGTTCGTTTAAAATTTTTATAATAAATGAAGATCCTAGTATTTTAGACAAAGAGGAATTTTGTTAAAGCAAATATGTACCATTTTGTTCAATGATTTTGGTTTATCTTTCAAAATGCTGTGTGATGCCTTTACTCCAAGATGACGGTTTCTGTTGAGGTACAATGCACATCGCATCCATTATGGGACTTCTGGTAGAGTTAAGGAGTGGGAGATACAAGATGGTATCGCGCAGTGGAAGCGACTGTATGAGCTTAGCATGGAGTTAATTAATAATATATGTATTTAAACAAACTTCTATTATAATAAAAGTATTCAACAGTGGTAGCAGAGCGTGATTCGGAAAAATAGAAAGGTAAAAGATAAGAAATATGACGACTGTAAGAAAAAATTTCCAATTGTGCCGTTCACCGGCACGAACTTTAACACGTGGTCGTTCATAATTAAAAGTGTCCTCAGGGAAAATGCGATAGTAAAAACTGTCGAAGATGAAGGATTTAGTGGGAATCAGCAGAATGCAGCGAGTGAAGCAAAAACTCAGGTAATAATTATAGCGGGTGTGGTAGATAGCCACTTAGAATATGTAAGGAAGGATTCCATGTTCGAAATGTTCAAGAACTTGGAAAAAAATTAAAAAAAAAGGAGTACGTTCAAAATTGTTTTTACAAAGAAAATGATCAGAGATAAAGTTTAGAGAACATCATCTTTCGGTGGAACATTTTACAAGAATGGAAGAGGTGTTCACAGAATTAAAAGAAGCAGATGCAGTCATGAGTGAAGAAGAAAAAGTTAATTACATATTATTATCTATGCTATCGTCATATGAAGGAGTCATCACAGCATTGGAAACTATGGAGAAGTTAAAATTGGACTTTGTAAAAAATAGATTGCTTAGGGAAGAGAAAAAGAGGAAGAAAGATGTGGATGACTATGGAGATAGACAGCATACAAACGTATTTATATGTTTTGTGTGTGGCAAACCTGGTCATAAGAAATTTCAATGCAACATGAGAGAAAGAAACGAATTCGAACGAGCAAGTTATCTATCGACGCATGGGAATCAGCAAAGGGGTCGTGGCAGTCATCAAGGACGTGGTCGAGAATACACCAGAGGCTTCAAACAGGGACGAAATCAAGGCCAAGGAAGAGGACGTCAAACATATACTGCAGAGAGTCACGAGTCAAGAGATCTGGCCTTTCTCTGCGACCATAATCAGAGTGATGTGCAGTGTTGCGTTGATTATAGCGAAAATCGTTTGGTGTAGTGCATAGATTCTGGATGCTCTGACCATTTAGTAAATAATAAGAACGTTTTTGTGGACTATTTAGAGCTTAACGTACCTAAGAATATAGCTGCAGCTAAAAACGGTGTGATGCTAGAGGCAATAGGAATTGGAAATATTAAAGTTAAATGTTTCGTAGGTAAAAAAGTTACTAATTGTACTATTAAGAATGTGCTTCAAGTACCAGAAACTTAGGAGAAATTTATTATCTGTCTCTAAAATAGAATCTAGTGGGCTGAAAGTTATATTTCACAGAGGATTAGTTAGAAGCTATAATCATAATCAAGTAGAAATAATAGGTAAGAAAGTGTAAGACAATTACTTAAACTTTCGCGCTGCGAGCGTAATCAGGGCGCCCATATATGTAGTATCGCCTTCTGGCCAAGACAAAGAGGAAGAGAACAATAGCGATTACAGTTACAGAGAGATAGCGATTACGATTACAAATTAACGAACGAATTAAGAGTTTATTAAGTGATATTTAGATCGATTATCGGGTTCCGAATACAATAAGCCACGTATACGACTCTAAGGAAGTTTATTGAATGGTGAAATACAGACATGTGGTCGGCTGGTCAGCCGGACTGATACTCCCTTGAATTCGGCAAGACGTAAACAGTTGCCTCGCGACACATTTACATATACTTATGCTCCTCGTAGGTTACATACACTACAATTAAGTACCCCGGAGCTCACAGTAAGCAATCAGAAGTGGGATTTGTACGGATTTCTGCACGTGGTAATTGAGATTAGGATAACCACGTGTCAGCTTTGTAATAAAGAACACAGTTTTTACTCGAAGCATTTAAGAACAAATACCAATGGAGGTAACGGATTTTACAAACAGGCAACTGAAGGATTTTTTAAGGCAGTTAAATTTGGATATTAACGGATCCAAAAACGAATTAATAGCGAGACTAGATACCGTTCATTCTCGAGACACATGGATCCCCATACTTGCTGGAGAAATGGCAACGGTAAATGCTAATTCTACACCAGCATCAGGCGATGTACCGGCAGAAGCATCGGCAGAAGCATCACGCTCAATTCGTGAAGTTCAACCAGACTTAGAGATGGTCATGCGTGAGTTAGAATTTGCACGCAGGGAACGAGAGTTGCAGCGAAGGGAAATTGAAATTATGAGAAGACAGAATGAATTGTTACCAGCGTCTCCCCGATCCGAAGCTGTTTCAAGAACATCGTGTGCAAATTTAAAGCCGGTGAGTGATTACCTTTCTGAATTTAATGGCACAGACAATTCATTTACAGCATGGGTAAAGAAAGTCAGAGTATTACGATCCATGTGCGATCTCGACGATAATGCCTTGAAACTTATGATTGGATCTCGATTACGAGGAAAAGCTGCGTTAGGTTGCATTCGAGACCTGAATTTATGAAAATGAGTCCTGAAGATTTGTTGTAGGAAATGCAGCAGATCTTCGATAACCGCCCTACGAAGCTGCAGTTAAGACGAAAATTTGAAGAGAAAAAGTGGAGCAGGGGAGCCGTACAGCGAGTATCACTGTGATAAAGTCATACTTGCCAATAAGCTCGATATCGAGGAGGGCGAGCTGGTGGAAGCGATAATTGACGGCATACCTGTGGAGAGATTGCGAAACATTGCTAGGATACAACGATTGTCTAAATTTTCTTCCTTGTTGGCAGCTTTCCGGAATATTACGATACATACAGACCCGAAGAAGAACGTTACCAGTACCTCGGCAAACGCGAGGGACCAGCAGAAGAAGGAGAATATGAACGCGCAGCCGTCAAGGTGTTTTAACTGTGGCCAAGAAGGTCATCGCGCCGCCACTTGCACAAGACCCAGAGGAGAGAGAGGATCCCGTTACTCATGCGGTCAGGTGGGACATCGAATTAGCGAATGCCCTTCGAGAGGGGCAAGAAAGCAGCAGAGCGGCAGTAAGACTACCGCCCTTGTAGAGGAGCCGAGACAGGAGAGTAGCAGAACGATAGATATTCCTCAGGAACAACTAGAGGACATGCAGCAAAGAGAGCCGAGGTCAGCAACGACCAGGGAGTATTGCGTATTAATAACCGAGGAAACCGAAAGCCATTATTATACTGAAGCTTTAATTGATTCAGGTAGTGCAATAAATATTTTGAAAAAAAGTATGTATTTGAAATTTTTTAGTAATATCGCATTAGATAAAATCAAAACAATTACGAATTATGGTGGCATAAATATGTCGCCATTGTCTATTTATGGATTTATTACGGTAAATATTCGCATACATTTAGTACCAAATCATGTCTTTACAGTAAAATTTGCCATTGTACCTGATTCTACAATGACTTATGATGCTCTCTTAAGGCGTGAATTTATTAAAACTCCCGGATTAACTGTTATGTTAGATAAATTAATGCGTATGAACTATTATGAGAGCGTAAATGAAATATTAAATATAGAAATTGCGAATGATGAAGGTCCTTTAGACATTGATCGCTCGCACCTTAAATAAATAAAGTATAATGTAGGTACCGGCTTGCATCTCCTTGCGCATAGAGCGTAATGCGCGTGTGCGGGCTGGAACCTCAGCGAATCGAGGAAGAGAGACCAGTACTTGTTCCTACTACGCAAGCAAGTGGCTTACACGTTCGACACTTGTCCACTAAGATTTATGGTAAGTTATAAATAAAGTGTTTCCTTAAACGCGGAGCCAGATTAATGATCTATCTTGGCCTACATGTGTGAGGACTAGGTCGAAGTTCTTCTATGTTCTCCTTTTAACACTAAAGCCCCATAATAAAGTAACAATAGGTGCCATCTCTGGTCGGTGTGACGAACTCTGTTGAGCTCACACGGATATACACTAATGTTGTTAAACGCTTTCAAGATTCTACTTCCAGTTTTGGGGATCATAACGCGTAATAAGATGTTCACACATAAAAAATCAAAAATTTGTTCGTCCCTCAATAAGTTAGGCCCTATTTGTGTCATAATAGTACTATTATGGGCTGCTCTTTACTTTGGGGAACAAAAAATTATGAACTTTTCTTTGTACCCATTTAGTAGTTTTTGATACTCAGATTACGAAAATGTAAGCTAAAATGTTAGGAATCGAACAGTTAAAAAGATACGCGTGTGTAAAGTTGAGGATTTTTGACGTATTTAGCTGGCTAATCCGACGTCATATTGGCTTTGACCATGTGTTTGGTAGGTAATTAGGTCGTTAATGCCATTCTGTTGTAAACAGACGATCCTAGATGGCGTGAACGTTTGTTATGAACGCTTGCAACGGGTGCGGCGACAATAGTTTCGCGGTCGAGGGGACGTAGCCCCCCCTTATGCAGGGGCCCTGGGGGCGGAGCCCTTCAGCATGCGTATAGGTTTAAAGCATATGCTTTTTAAATTTTATAGAAGGATTTTGAGCTGTAGTATACTCCTCGAAATAGTACACACTATTGAGATAAATCACGTATGAAATAAATCAGACAATTAGAAAAGGAATAGGTACATACGGTGGTGAGAAGTGAGTTAGACAGCGGGGGAAAAGAAGTGTAGCAAGATACACCCACAACTAAGCGTCAAATAAAGAAAATCTCTCCCTGGGGAAGGTTAGCTTCCTCCAGGGAGTAGAAAAAAAGGATAAGATGGACGACCATAACGGGAGGCCAAAAACAACGAACAGAGCGACATCTGCACCATGACTGGTGAATAAAAGTGTCAAAGAAATGGATATGGAAGTAAAAACCCTAGCACCTAAGGAGAGAAAAAGGAAAAGGCTGACTCCAGTGGAAAGTAGCCCATTGAGGGCGGATGAAGAAACAGGAAACGGAAATGAAGGGGAGGAAACAAAGAAGAGAAGCGGTATAGGAGAAGCGCACATTGCAAGGAAAGCAACGCTAAGGAATAGTATCAAAGCAAAAGAGGAAAAAGTAAAAGAAAGTGAAAACACTGAGTTTATTGGAAAAAAGAAAACAAGTCTAGTAGTCGAACACGGAGAGAAAGGAAAGTAGCGAGGAAATAACAAGGAAAAAAGCAGGTATAGTAACAGAAAACAGAAACAAAAAACACGTGGTAGGAGAGTGGAACGAGGTAGAGAGCAACTACCTAGAATTTTTTGAAATTTATATTAACTATAATAGAGCGTCCAAATTTAAGAAAGTGAATTGTATTAGAATTTTCAGGCAGTTGCAACCACTGATCCACGAAGTCGAAGGAATCAGAATGATTAGTAGGAAAGTTGCAGAGGTAAGGGTCAAAAGACCAGAATTTGGAAAGGAGATCTTCCAAAAATTCAAAAACATTCAGGGACAAGATATGGACTACGGGATACCAAAATTCTCACCAAAGGAGTTAGCTGAATTAGGTTTCAGAGAGAACAAACGTTACGAGGAAGAAGGCGAAGAGGAAATGGACAAGGCAAAGAAAGAATATGATTAATATAGAAAAGTGGGAGAATAGGACGTGCTATGTAGGAAAAAAAGAAATAGCGATAGACAATACAGTGGAGTGATTAAAGAAGCCAATCCGACATTCCCCAGAAGCCGAAACAGGTTCGAGACACTAACTTCTGAAGGAGAGCCGTACTCAGAGTCGGATTATAATTATGATCCAGAGAGGGAAAAAACAAAAAAGAACACAAAAATTAAGAAACCTCAGTGCAACGTGACACAAAAAAGCTAGAGAGTTAATGTAACAGACGAGGAACTAGATATGCTGTTACAATGGATCAAGGAAACGAAAATGGAAGATATAGTAATAAATAAAATAAACAGGAACAGGAGAACCTACTACCCGGAAAGAGTCAACATCAGGGGTGAAGAATACACTCAGATTAGAAACAGGTACGCACAACCAAATCGATATGATCAATTTAAGAACAACCAAGGAAGAAACAACCTCAAAGATTCAGAGCTTCCAAAACATCCACCTCAGGCGACAAAAACGCAACTTGAAAACAAGAATGGAGGAAGGTACGATGATGACTTCAGCTTTGTAAATAGGAATAGGATTATAGAACCAAACCAAAATAAGACAGTAAGAACATATAGCAGAAAATTGTCTAGAAATCGGACAGATACGAGAAACTCACAAATGGGAACGGACCTACAAGAAAGCAGATTTACTGGCTTAAATAAATGAAGGAAGGAATCATAATACCAGGTGAAAATGATTTACACAAAAAGGTAGGCTTGGTAATCTCAGAGGAAGAGCGGGAAGGAGAAGATAACGCAGCCAACGGGGAACTTGGTTGGAAAGAACCAAGAATTCAGAACAAGAACGAAGAAGGACAAGACGAGGCGAAAACAGAAGACGGAAGACGGGAATCTGTGACTGAAACAATCGAATTTGAATTCATAGAAGAAAATAGCAAGGGAGTGGAACGAGAGATAGAAATTACGACTACGTTAAAAGTAAAAGGGTAAAATGTGCAATAATGAACGAAAAAATAGAAAATATTGAGGTACTAATGGCCATTAACAGTCAAGGGAACAGAAGACCGGCCTCTGGAGACGACAAAATTGACTACGGGCTCATCAGCGAGCTTCCGTTGTTCATGAAGAAAATGCTATGCGAGATTATAAAGGAAAGCTGGAGGAAATTAAAGATCCCAGAGGACTGGAAAATAGGGAGGATACATCTTATAAATAAACCAGGAAAGGCGGCCCTAAGGCCGATAACGCTGACGTCGTGCGGAGGTAAGATTATGGAAAAAATTATTAACATGAGACTTACTTTGTGGGCAGAAAACAACAATATAATAGATGACTCCCAGGCAGGTTTTAGAAAAAAGAGATCAACAGTGGACAATTTAAATCATCTGGTGACGGGTATAAAAGCCAACTCCCGGAAAAAGGAAATATCCGCAACAGCATTCGTCGATGTAAAAGGAGCCTACGACAATGTCAACCTGGACGCATTGGTGGAAAAATTAAGAGAACAAAAATGCCCGGAAAGGATAAGGCAATGGATAGGAACATGGTTAAGGAACAGAATGGTAAGAGTCAAAACTCAAAACGGTGTAGAGATGTATATCCCATGGAAAATAGGGGTCCCGTAAGGCTCCATATTAAGCCCTACCCTTTTCAATCTATACATGGCAGGTATAAGCAAGAAAGTTAACGGTACCAAGATCATACAATATGCTAACGATATAGCATTGCTATCTAAGGGGAAAAAAATAACTGGAACGCAAAATAATTTAGAAGAGGGAATTGCTAAGGTGGTAACCTTCCTGGACAAAGTCCATCTGAAAATATCAGAAGAGAAAACAAAAGTTATATTCTTCGGTAAACAACCAGAGGTACCAAACATAAAGATCCATAATGGTAACGAAACCATGGAAATTGAAATAAGTAACTCTGCTAAATTTTTAGGGCTGCACATTGACAACAGACTGGATTTCAAAGCGCAATTTGAGGAAGTTAGTCTTAAGATACAAAAAAGGCTCAACATAATGAGATATGTGTCGCGGTAACAAAGGAATTAAGCAAGGATATGCACTAATGTTGTTAATATGAGCGTATAATGTGAGCGTTAATATCTTCAATAATGGAATATGGAATCACGATCTATCTTAACGATAAAAGACAAGAACAAATGCTGGAAAGAGTAAGGAAACAGGAAACGGCCGCTCTAAGGGCGGCAATGGGATACATGATGACAACTCCACTGAACGTGATATACACAGAGACAGGATGGATAGGAACTAAAAACAGAGCCAAATTATTAGCAAATAGATACTGGATTAAACAATGGGAGAAAGGTAAGAAAAGTAACCCCACACTTACATTGTTTGGAAAACTAAAGATAGAAAACCCAAATATATGTAGGAAGAGAAGGGGACAGAGAGTAAATATCGCCCCAACTTATCGGAAGAAGCATTCTACGAAGTATGGGAAAAGAGGAACGAAATATTCACGAGAGACCCGATAAAGGACACTACAAAACTACTCCTCACGGAGTTTAATTCCAAGCGGTTGAAAACTTCCATATGTTTGAACCGTTTAAAAATTTGTCCGCTAAGTTTTGATCGTTAGTGTAGTCTGTTAGACAGTAGTGACGTGCTAGGAAACAGACTTTGATTAGCAAATAATTGAGTCATTTTAGGATATAAAAAGATAGTACAAAGAAAGGATCTACCGTAAATGTAAGATAGGTATAGGACTATTTCACGCGAGAATTTTTATGTAAAAAAAGAAGAGAAAAGAATATAAATTGTAAGATGTAAAGGTTGTAAGGAAAGAAAGTTAATCTGCGTATAACAAATTGTTAAAAGATTGCAAACACGCATGTATGTAAATTTAGACAATAAGAACGGAAAATAGTAAAGTATCAATTTATATTGTGATATCAGGCAAAACGAAGTGATATAGAAAGATAAGAAAAACGCATATGTAAAGTATAAATTCGTTGTATTTTCGTAGTGCTTTTATAAAAAAAAAATAAGATAGAGTATAGAATATAAGTAGTAAAGTAAGGAAGAAAATGTAAAAAAAATTTGTAAAGGAATACGGATCGGTGCAAATATCCAGATGCTATCGGGTGCACCTTAATAAAGAAACTGAAAACTGAAACAAATGTTCACGCGAAAAAAAATGACGGATTAGCTTAGAAATTAAAGACGTGTTTTAGAAGAGTAAAGAAAAAATTGAGTTAAATGTGAACAGACAATAATTAAAAGTGCGGAAAGGCGAGAGTGCCGTAAAGGGAAGACGTGCAAGTGAAGGTGTACAAAAGTGACTGTGCAATCAAAAAATAAGAAAGGAATTAAAAGTGCATAAAAAAGTGAGGTTAGCATAGAAGAAATAGCGGGAAGAGGGAATTAAAATTCCTTAGCCTAATAGATTCACGGGAATTTGAAAAGGTAGATGGCGACAAGATCTTTGGACTGGAAAGGAAGCGGAAAAACGCGGAAGGAGGTAACAAAGCGGAAACGAACCCCCAAAGAGGGGAGAAGGAGAAAGAGAGGAAAGAAAGGGGCGCAAATGCGCAGAACCTCATTAAGAAAAGTATATCGGAAAGAGAAAGTCGCTGAGTTAAAATATACAAGATAGAAGTGATAAATGAAGACAAAAGAGTAAACATTAACAGAAAGTTAGAAGAAGGTAAGAGGATAGAAAAAAAAGACGCGGAAACGCACATTAAAATTTTTTTAAACAACATAGGTAAATCCAGACACGTGCAGCAACACGTGGGCGGTTGGAACAAAGACCCAACAAAACAGGGGTATTTGTGTGAAAAAGAAGGAAAAACCAGTGAAGGGATAATAGAAAACGAGGAAAACGACCCAAAGGATTTCCTGAATTTTTTTGAAATAGCACTGGATTTCAATAAGGCGTCAAAAAGCACAATGGTAAATTACCTGAGGATCTTCAGAGCATTAAAGAGAGAGTACAATAATATCAAATGTATTAAAATGGTGAATAACAGGAAAGAATCGCTGAAGTGAATCTCAAATTTCCGCTAGTAGGGAGAGAAATTTTTAACAGACTAGAAAGGAGGGGAATACCCGATATGGCATTAAGAATTCCCAAAAGAACCACCGAGCGCTGGGGAGTGATAAGAGACTGGGAGTTTTCGCCCAAAGAGTTAGAGGAGGCGGCGGTACTCAGACAGGGTATCAAGTCAATCGAAAGGATGAAGAAAAGGGTGGGGGTGGAAGGAGGGTTCGATTACATCGACTCATCGTTACTACTGATGGAGTTACTGATGGAGTAAAGAAGAAATGGAAAGATGGGAAGATAGGGAGTGTAACATAAAAAACTCCTTCTGGAAGAGGAGAGAAGAGGAGAATAAAGAGAAAATGCGAAACATAAGAAATAAAAACAGATGGGATGTTTCCGAGGAACCAGAGGGTGACCCTTATCCCCAGGAAGCTTATTACAGAGACCTTTCGGAAAAGAACTACAAGGGATACAGTACATTCTCTAAAAAAACGAAGGGGCCGTCAACCAATGACTGGAAAAAAACGAATACAATCGAACAAAACATTCAGCCACTTTTAGACTGGATAAGGGAATGTAAAATAAAGGATTTTTTAATAGAAAAAATTAACAGAAACAGAAGAATCCTACACCCAAAGAGGATAGATAAAGAAGACAAGGACTATTGGAGGATTAGAAAGGAACATAGACAGATGAGAACTGACAAAGGTCCGGAGAACGACAGGCAGAATCTGCCAAAATATTCATCAGCTCTCACAAGAGAAAGTGAGAGATTTAATTTCTCAAAGCAAGAAAAAGAAAAAGATATGTTTAAATACGGAAGGACCTACGACAGGACAAGAAAAGAGAACAACGAAGGGCTAAAGTACATAAGAAGATTCGAAGGAAGAGCATCGACTGTAAAACAGGCAGAAGAAGAAGAAAAAGCCCAAAGATTCCAGATCCAAGGGGAGATGCCGAACACAGTATGTACAATGCAAGATATACAGACGTTGGAGGAAGACTGGGAGGGTACCCAGGTCAATGGGGCAGCAGCAACGACAGAAGCTGTAATTATTCTGGAAACACAAGAAGAGGTTATTGAAGAAAAAGTGACAGGTGATGATAAAATAGTACTGGAAGAAGAGCAAGGCGTGACAGAAAACGCTAGCGTAATAATAGTCAGTGTAGAGGAAGACTAGGAGATGCAAACGCAGAGGGATATACGTGCATGTATCGAGGAGTCGTCTTTGGAGAGCACCCAAAAAGAGGATGAGTACCCAGACGGAGGAACGACCTGGGAAGAAGCTGCGAACGAGTCAGGGTAAGTCGAGTTTGATTTATTGAGACTCAGAAAGACTATAGAGACTATATAAATAAAGAAAAAGGAAAAAATAGTTAAAGTTACAAAGTATAGACTGAAAGATTAGTGAAAATAGAATTTATATTTGTGATATTGTTTGATTTTGACTTTGGTGATCAATACTAGATAGGAAATAATAAAAAAAGAAAAAATAGTATGGAGAAAATCAAAAGTAGACAATAAAAACACAGTTTTAGATAGAAATTCGAATAATAAAAAGAAAAATAGAAATACCAAAGGTGCAAACATATAATACAAGTTACGTTTAACAAGTATAGAGGATGTCGAATCATGTCAACGTAGGTCTATGGAACGCGCATAGTTTATTAAAGAAAAGCAACGATCTTCTGAATATTATAGATGGATGGATATATATAGATAGATATATAGACAGATATGGATACATATACAGGGTGTCCCAAAAGTCGGGGAGGAGCCGAAAATGGGGGGTAGCTGAGACGATTCTGAACAACAATTTCCTTTGCAAAAATGTCGGATGAGGCTTCGTTAAGGAGATATTAAGAGAAAACCCCGACCAATCAGAGTGCGCGTAGACCGTTCGAGCGGCCGCGGTAGCGAAGGCTACGCGCTAGGCGGCAGCGTCAATGTCCTTCGATGCACGTCGAGTCACTTGTTCGCGTAGCCTTCGCTACCGCGGCCGCTCGAACGGTCTGCGCGCGCTCTGATTGGTCGAGATTTTCGCTTAATATCTCCTTAACGAAGCTCCATCCGACATTTTTGCAAAGGAAATTGTTGTTCAGAATCGTCTCAGCTACCCCCCATTTCCGGCTCCTCCTCGACTTTTGGGACACCCTGTATATAGAAACGTGGCTCAACGAATTTCCGATAAAAAATATAAAAGGATATATAACCAGGCACAAGGACATACCAATTACGGAAAGGAAAAAATATCACGGAACACCAGGGACAGGAATGGTTATAATATACAGAGATTCATTAAACATTAACTTTATACAAGACAAATTTATTCCAAACGAAATGGAATATATACATTTGAAAATACTTGACTCAAACAATATAACGTTATTTCCAATAATCTTATTTTATAGAAATCCAAACAGATACTTTAGCAAAAGGGGCTGGACAAATTTTTTCAACGACATCAACATGACGGACGAAACCATAATAATAGGCGACTTTAACGCTAAACATAACAACTGGAGTTGTGGTTATTCAGATCAATCGGGAAAAGCCTTAGAGAAGGAATTAGAAAACTGAAATCTCATAGTACATAACACGGATACAATAACGAGACAGAGTACAGGTACGACAGCGTCAAATATAGATTTGATAGGATAATATCGCGTCCACATTTAACCAGTTGCATAAAATATACTGAATCCAATATGTGTTTAGGGTCTGACCATCAAATTTTAAATTTTCAAATCTACACAAACGACGATATTGGACTGAATAGGGACGGTGCAAGAACAAGGATTAGCAACAGACTGAACAGAGACAAAAACGAGGTCAATTGGAAGGAATTTAGGGACCGATTAGAGAGCGTAAAAAGTAAGTTTTTAGACGAATTAAAATTAATCAAAGAAATCGACGAGAAATACTCATGCCGTGCATCTCATAGCTACCCCTTGAGGGGGTGGAACAGCTCGCGACTTTTCAACACTCTTCGTAAGGGAGGACTTCCAGACATCAAGAGCGATGAAATTCACCATGTTTGTTCTCTATACGTTAAGAATAAAAGCCCAACAGATCCCGTTTCGAAGACTGTCCCCTAAGCTGAGCAGTGGTGGCCTAAAGTTAGAGGTGTAAGTGTAAGGGTTGGAACGATGTTTCGTTGCGTGGAACATATGTGGTACGGTCCAAGGCATTAGAGTGACACAGTTTTGATGTCTTTTCCCCTCGTGAATAGCATTAAATTATGAAAATGTCGTTTTTTTGGAAAACCCACCTCCCGTCTTCAGACCCGTCTGTGGGGTGAACGAGTAACTCCATGTCAACGTCCGAGAGCGATTGCAAGGGGTGCATTTTGTACGGGGCATCAAACAGAGTCGCCTCAAAGGTTTTTTTTATTTTTCACCCCTTTCCGTCACCCCTGGACCCTTCTGAAGTGCCGTTTTTCTGCATTACCCCTTTAGGGGGGGGGGGGTGAACTAACTCTTTCTCATCAACCCTCGTCAATGCAACTTTGCACACACCCAAAGGACACTTCAAAACTAAACCTCACGAAGTTTCCCGAAGATCGGTTGAAGACTCTCTGAGTTATGACGTTTTAATATAGTATCCCCCTTTTTTTTTAAAGCCATTGTATCTCAAATCGCGTAAATCAGACTATTATCAACGAAAGTACTTTTCAATTATACAATCAGATTTTTCATGCAATTTCGTTAAGTATTGTCCAAATTATGTCATGTGTAGGTTCATTTTCATCGCAAAAACATCAGGGATCGATTCAAGTTGCTTCCGCAAAGTTCTGATAAAGATTGCGGAGGTCGGTATTTTCATTTCTTAATGGCAAAATGGGTGGTGTAAGTGCGATCTGTGAACCGATGGATTGCCGCTTTCGGCGAAAAAAAGTATTGGAGTCTCGCTTCAAATCACTCGAAATGATCGTTTTTTTTTAAGCGTTCGAGCGTTAACTCCAAGCTTGCGTGGCATGGTTTCGGCTGTCATAACGAGCCCATCGTCGTGAATGCTCTCCGTGCGAGTGAATACAGTGATGTTTGTACTTTTTTACAGCCTACATTTGTATGCCATTTCTACAGATTACTTGCACATGCGCCTTTATTGCTTATCACTACTAGTTCATACATTAAAAATAAACAATAATTATTGCTGAAAATTAAACGAAATTTGTTCAAGATGACATAATTGTTCTTGTCAGTCATATCTGTTGTTCGAATTGAACTTGTAAAAAACGTAAATGCACAAGATGCAATTGTTGTTCATGAATTACAGTTGAAAAATATATAGAACTTTGTAGCAAGTGTATAAACATTATTGTGTTATAAAAATATTTAGACATATCACATAAAAATTCACCCACTACATTGCTGAAAATACAGCTCCAGATAAGAACATTGTTCTCACTATGTTGAGAAGTAGATCTTTCTTCACCATTCTTGTTTGTTGTGAGATAAATTTATAACACAATGGTATATTCACGTGTTCATAACGTACAGTACGTGTATGCTGATTGAGACTGAATTAATTTTATTATAAATAATTAAAATATCAAGTAATCCATTCAAGTATATTTTGCTTTTCAAATAATTTCTTCATTTGCTATATTTAAACATTTATAGATACACAAAATTTGTGTATCATCATTCCGGAGAGCCGTTTTTTCCTCCTCACGTTGATATTAATAATAAGTAATGTACTAACAATGGTGAATTCACATGCATTGTAGTGAACAGAAAGTGAGAACTTTCGGAGGATATTTTGTAATCTGTAGAAATAGCAAATAAATTTAAGTTGTAGAAAAGTACAAATATCGTTCTATTCCCTCGCATGGAAAGCATTCACGTGCTCGCTATGGCAGCCGAAACCTAACCACGCGAACCTGGAGCGTGGGTCGAGGCTCAAACGCTCATAAAAATCGACACTTTCGAGGGGTTCCAACCGTTCGTCGTCGGATGAGCTACTCCTAATGCTCGCCTAGTGGGAGTGTCTTTTCGGACAAAATCCGGCGAGCACGGACAATTTACGACCGAACGAGCCCGTTACATAGGTGAGAAGCCGCCTTTGAGGTCACAGTGATCTCCAAAACAAGACCATATCACAATGTAAAATTCCCCGCCCTTTCCGAATCTAAGCTCAAAAATAAGGGTTTCCATTTGTAAAATGAAAATTTACTAAAATCAAGGTCAAGGTTAAATCTGAGGTTACAGAAAAATAGAACTTTTGCAACTTTAAAATCCGTGTCGAGTTATTCTTTCCATTAATGCATAGATTTTGAGATAAGGGGTGAGTCCGTTACTTTTTTAAAGTCCTGTCTAATAAGAACGTGTCCGCCGAAATTTCCAAACCGCTTAACATAATTAAAAAAAAAATAAAAAAAAAAAACACGTCGAACTTCAAAAAAGTACAAAAATTATGCCATGTACATGAAAAAGTGGAGGACCCAAGGAGTTATCATAGAAAAATAGAAGATTCCCATAAAAAAACTACAAGAAAGTAGAAAAAGATGTGAAATCGAAATGAACTGCCAGTACATGAAAGTCCTTTCCAATAAAGTGCAAAGGCGACATTGTCTGTGTAATTCTGCTGAAAGTAGAAGTCAATTAAATGGCTTTTGATTAACTCTGCTTAATCCAATTGTAATTAAATATTTTTTAATTACATTGTTTGTAATTAATTACTCAGAACCCTGCTCGGAATTAGTTGCACATTTCGGGTCGATTCCTGAGGCAACCCCTAGTGTATCCCCACTACCGCTCTAGGATCGATGGCCGTGATTAAAAATTTCCTTGCGCTGTCAATATTTTTTATTTTCACAGATAATTAAAGTTATTAATATTATGTTTAGGTCTATAAACATCTTTTATATACAGGGTGTCCCAAAAATGTAACACCTTAAAAGAGGTGGTTCGGGGGGTGATTTGAAACACCTTTTTCCTTACCGAAAATGTTGTCCGAAGCTTCGTTGAGGAGGCATTAACGGAAAACACTAACCGATCAGAGCGCGCGGATACCGTTGGAGTAGCCGCGATAGCGAAGGCTACGAGCTAAGCGGCCACGCTCGTACGCGAACAAGTGACTCGACGTGCATCGAAGGACATTGACGCACTCCATGGACTCCAACGGTATACGCGCGCTCTGATTGGTCGGGGTTTTTTCTTAATATCTCCATAACGAAGCCTCGGACAACATTTTCGTTAAGGAAAAAGTTGTTTCAAATCATCTCCCGAACCACCCCTTTCAATGTGTTACAACATTTTTGAGACACCCTGTATACATATAATAACAATGATGTATGATATAATAATTGCAATTTTATCAATAGCTTTCCACATCATCAAAGAGCTAATATTGTTGATGCTTTTTTCTTTAAAGTGCTTTCCCCAATAGGCCTATTCCATGAAACGTTAATAAGACCGATAATAAAATATGTGACTTGGCAAGAACATTGAAATCAAAATTATAAATGTATTCATTTTCATTTGATCTTCCGGGTCGTTTGCACGATTCTACAAGGGATAGTATACCCACAGATAATTTAGAGGAATTAGTTCGTATCAACGTGGATAATAATGCATCACTTAGAGACGAACGTTTTTCTGTTTTTATATTTTTCATTTTAGAAAATGAGCATTCCCATAAATATGTGGACTCAAACATAGAGAAAATTCGAAAACCAAAACATCGGAGAAGTGGATAACGTGATGCATCTAACATTTTGAAGAACACAACTCTCGTTTCTAACCGTGCTTTTGAGTAAAGATCATCTTGCAAATTGCAAAGTTCTCCCGGAAATCGTAGGCTTTGTTTCTCGATTTGCACAGTGAGAGGATTCTCAAAAAGAATTAAATCATTTCTTAGCCTTTCGAAGTCATTGAAACGCGTATCAAATCGATTTATTAGAGAGTCAATTATATTTATACGTTATTTA